ACATTTGTGAGACAATAATTTAAGCCATGCTCCTGTTTAGTTCTCCAAAAATCCGAACTGCGCACTGCTACATGCGATTATGTATGCGTCTGCACATCTTGGTTGGTTAACTAGTAGGCTGGAATAGGGAAGGGAGCGACAGCGGAGTACACAGCGATTTTAAGTTAAACAAATACACCATGAAAAGCTTGTTGTTGTTTAACATTCGGTTTCACTTCAGTTCTTTGTATGGTATAACTTAACTCAATAGCATAAAAGAGAGTAAGAGTGGCCCAGAGATTTGTTGTACCTTATACTTTGTCCATTGCCTCTATCTGACAACAGAGCGGCTGCAACAGGACTGCCAACCGACCACAAACGCGCCTACCCTGCTGAACCATAAATGCTGGTTCGTGGGGAAATGATCTGCCAGTGGCAGCTTGGGACCACGTACCTGCAGAAAGCATCTGTTATCAAATGGGGGAAAATATATACTGGCTACTCTTGTTTGTGCTTTTGTTGATCCATTAGCAAGTTGTGGAGAAAAATGAAGTTCTGACATACAAAGTCTGTGGTTTCTATACTGTTTAAAAAAAAAATCTTTCATGTTTTAATTTTTTTTTCATTCTTTTCTCATTCCTGGTGAATTTAACTGTTGGATTCAGATGATGCACAGTGTCATGCACATCATGCAATGTGCAGCTTTTGGTGACTTCTGGAGGTTGGAGAGCAGTGTACTTTATTCCTTAGACATTGATTATTTGGCATTCTGAACTAATCCTGTTTACATTAACTTCACTTTTCAAACTTGGAGTTTAGTGGGTGGTTTTAATTGAAGGTTGCTGACAAGTTTGTAAGCCTATAGCAAGAAGGACAAGATCACAAACTGTCTGCTTACTCATTCATGTGTATTTTATAAAAGACACAATCAGGTTGGATTGCTGTATGGGAGTAAAAATTGTTATGCCTGTGCACCATTATTACTATTGTCCCCGAAGAGGCTAGATAATCCTCTAAATCCTTGAAAATTACTGTCACTACATAGACTGTGCACTATAAATCCACAGTCTGATATGTCATTCAGTATATTTATGTGTTTTATTGTTGGACCAAAATTGGTATTACGGGACACAGAAAAATGAGCATTATGCCAGCCCTTCAGTCTTTGGCAACACTGATACATTTTAGCCAAATAAATTGTAGTGTTAGTTTCATTTTCTTCGCTTGTGTTGATACACAGCCTTACCCATTGATGCTCAAATAGTTTTGGTCCATATTGCTGCCATCCAGCTGTCATCCAGGAGATAGTGTTGCAATGTAGGTCCCCACATTTATGAGTTCAATTCAATTTTCAGTTCAGTTTTATTTATATAATGGCAAATCACAACAACAGCTGCCTCGAGGCACTGTATATTGTAAGGTTAAGGCCCAACAAAAATACAAAGAAAACAGAGAAAACCCATATCACATATCTTATATTTGATGGGCAGCACAGTGGCGAGGTGATAAGCACTGTTGCCTCACAGCAAGAAGGTCCTGAGTTTGATTCTACCACCTGGCCGTGGCCTTTCTTCTCCCTGTGCTTGTGTGGGTTCTCTCCACGAACTCCAGCTTCCTCCCACAGTCCAAAGACATGCAGTTAGTGGGGTTAGGTTAACTGGAAAATCTAAATTGCCCATAGATGTGAACATGAGTGTGAATGGTTGTCTATCTCTCCATGTTAGCACTTCAACAGGCTGGAGTACCCATCCAGCGTGTACCCTGCCGCTCACCATATGGTAGCTGGGACAGGCTCCAGCCCCCCTATGACCTTGACAAGGACAAGCAACAAAGAATAGATATATTTATATGATATGACCTGCTTTGGCGACAGTGGGAAGGAAAAACTCCCTTTTAACAGGAAGAAACCTCCGGCAGAACCAGGCTCAGGGGCAGCCATCTGGCATGACCGGTTGGGGGTGAGGGGAGGAAGGCAGGTCAAAGACACGCTGTGGAAAAGAGCCAGAGATTAAAAATGAATATTGATTAAATGCAGAGTGGTGTATAAACACATAGTGAGTGAAAAAAAAACAGTGCATCATGGGCAGCCCCCGCAACCTAGACCTATTGCAGCATAACTAAGCGAGGTCACCTGATCCAGCAATAACAATGTGCTTTATCAAAAAGGAAAGTTTTAAGCCTAATCTTAAAAGTAGAAAGGGTTTCTGTCTCCTGAATCCAAACTGGGAGCTGGTTAACAGAAGAGGGGCCTGAAAGCTGAAGGCTCTGCATTTCAAACTGTGAACCTTAGGCAGCTCAAGAGCAAAGCACACATGTAGGCAGCTGGGTCGGGTGTGTGGAATAAAGAAAACAGCAACAGGGTGAATGACAACAGAAATCTTCTATTTTCAGCTTTCAACTAAACTCATTTCTTTCTTTCTAACAGTAGGATAGACTTCATTCCTGCTCTCATTTTCTTTAAGGTTTTGGTTTATAGGCTACTGTCAAAACAGGACAAATCACTGCTGAAGGGACTGAAAGCCTCACAACACACCCGTTACATGGAAAGGAGCCTTTTTTTTTTTTACAGTAGTCCTTTTACATGGAGTGATAGGTTTACAGAGGTGTTACTTAGCACAATAATTATGACGTCCTAATTGACCTTTACTCATGTCAATTACTTCATCAAAACAGTTGCTCCAAAAAAGGTCTTTTAATTCTTATTTCCACTCAGTTTTTATGAGGTAAACAATGTGTTTTATCCTCACTTTCAACAAATGGCCAACCAACAGTTAAACCTTTGCAGATCACTACTCTCCTTTAAAACCATTTGAACGTTTTGTAATCTATTGTCAATGGAGATGTATGAGCTTAAGTTTGTTAGAGTTGCCCGAAAGCTTACATACCGAATAACTATGCCTTATGGACACATCATAATGTAAATATATTGTAATGCATATAGCTTTTATGTGTCATTTAGAATTATATACAGACAGCGGTGGAAATAATTATTTCACCCCTGGTGAATTTCTAAGTTTTCTTGCTTACAAGAAATGTCTTTATTTTTATGCTAGTTTCATTTTAATGGAGAGAGTGACAGAATGTCAACCATATATCCAGAACCCCCCCACACATTATATAAAAGTTAGGATCTGCATGCCATTGAGTGAGATAAGTACTTGGTGGAGAAGTCCTTGCTGCCAAACACTAAAGCAGGGGTCTCCAACTCCAGGCCTCGAGGGCCGGTGTCCTGCAGGTTTTAGAGGTGTCCTTGATCCAATACAGCTGATTTCAATGGCTAAATTACTTCCTCAACCTTTCTTGAAGTTCTCCAGAGGCCTGGTGATGAACTAATCGTTTGATTCAGGTGTGTAGACCCAGGGTGAGATCTAAAACCTGCAGGACACCGGCCCTCGAGGCCTGGAGTTCGACACCCCTGTTTTAATCTCTGTTCTTAACTGTGAGGATTGAATTCTTTGGGTCACAGCCAGGATTACTCTTCCTCCAAACATGGCAGGTCGAGTTAATGTCAAAGAGGTTGATTCTGGTGTCATCTGACCACATCACTTTCTCCCAAGCCTTCTCTGAATCTTTTAGATGATCGATGGCAAACTTAAGACGGGCTGATTCACAACTTTTCTCATGATCCTCCTGAACCCATGAGGCAAGGTTTTGCATGGAGCTCTAGACCAACGACAACCGTTGGTTATTTTATATTTCTTCCATTTTCAAATAGTCATCGCATTCTCACCAAGCTTCTCCCATTCCAGCCTTGTACAGGTCAGAATGAGTTGATTCTGTGGACAGGTACGCTTTACACATAATGGGCTGAGATTGGGAATATCTCTGAGTGACTGGTTTATTCTGTGTGCAACATGGGTACACAGCCAGTCTTTGGGAGCCACAATTCTGGCTGTGTTGTAGGGGAACAAATACATACAAATTCATTTCGTAAGTTTTATGTAATTATATTAGCTTTTTCTTTCTGGCTTTACCATAAAAATTCAGACTGTCACTTTTGTTGTCGATGAGCAAACATATTGCATGGCAGTGTGAATGTTAGATTGAAAGCACTTTGCTAGAAAAAGCAGAGAGAAAAATGTTTGTGTGAATGAGGTCTATCGTATAAAGCGATTTGAGTGCTCAAGTAGAAAAGTGCTGTATTGGAACCATTTTTTTTTTTACCATTCGAGTACATGTTCATAAAACCAGTGTGAGAGGATTTAAACCTTGTGACATGGTGTGTTATCCTGCTGGAAGCCGCCATCAGAAGATGGTACACTGTGGTCCTAAAAGGATGGACATGGTCAGTAACAAAACATCAGTATTTTCATGTTGGTTCCACCAAATTCTGATCAAGACTTATCAGACCCGGGACCAGTTTTCTGATTTTCTCTTGCCCAGTTTTGGTGACCCGCTTGGGAATTGTAGCCTCAGTCTCCAGTTCTTAGGTGACAGGAACAGCACCAAGTGCGGTCTTCTGCTTGGGTAGCTCATCTGCTTCATGTTTGGTATTTAGAGATGCTCTTCTGCATACCTTAGATGTAACAAATAGTTGCCTTCCTATCAGCTCAAAGCAGTTTGACCGTTCTCCTCTCACATCAACAGGCAGTTTGCTCAGTGACCTGCCAATCAATCACTTGATATTCTATTTTTCAGACCATATTCTGTAAACCCAAAGAGAAAATCCAAGCACATCAACAGTTTCTGAAAGACTGTCTGCTGCGAACAATGCCCCTTTCAAAGCTGCTTAAATAACCTTCTTCCCTATTTTGACGCTCACTTTGAACTTCAGCAGGTCATAAATGCATTGAGTTGCTGTCCAATGGTTCTTTTCCTGTTTGGTATAATTATTATAGTCTAACTAAAGCATCATTAGGACTTTGCATCAGGTTTTCCTACTTACAGAGCAGAATCTGGAAGTTCTTGTTTCATCTTTGACTTTTTGCTTACATTTCCTATTTGATAATATGAATTTCAGCTACTGGCAAGTAAAAACCCCCCCCCAAAAAAACAAAAACCTATTAACTTTTTATGTTGGCATCAAGGTTTATTGTCCTTTGATAATGTACAATATACAAAAATATAGGGTACCAAAAATTCACAGTGTCTAAAAGGCAGTGATTACTATACATTTGTCTACATGACAGGTCTAACAGTACACCTGGTAAGTTGCATAGAAGGACACAGAGCCTCACATCGCAGGGGACAGAGCTCGAGATCGACCAGTCAGTTGAACGCCCGTCTGACCACAAGCTGAGTTTACATCAAAATGACATCTTTTTAAATTTCATATCGCCGTTATAAATGATCATTTCCAGCGTATGATACGCGGTACTCTCATTGGTGGGTTATTTTCATTCCGGGTTCATGTGACTCTGGAGATTTTGTGTTTGAGCAGCTGGGAAAGGTCACAAGTCACAAGCGGTCGGTCACGTTGTGGAGCTCTGTCCCCAAACAAACCTCATGGTTGGTGTGTACTTAGCTGCTGTACTTTTTTTCTCTTTAAACAACTATAAGGCTTTTTTTTAAACAAACAGTGTTAGCTATACAATATACAGATACATATACACAACTGTCTTCAAGGACATTAAATGGGTAGAAGGCTGTCGCTCCTATATACAGATAGAGCTCTCATCTCGTGCATGTACATTAGCTGAACTGAAAAGCATTGCTGGGTTAGCATTCATCGATCAGGCAATAATAATAAAATATAGCTGTGAGAATGCCCTTTATAAACCAAGCTTTGACTATAAATAACGTCCATTCCACCTCCGCACGGACCAGAGGTGTGATGCTTTAACTTACAATGATTAACATCTCAGACATGAAACAGGAAAAGGAAACAGTAGAATGCCTGCAACACAATGTGGAGAAGTGCACACACACGCACACACACGCACACTCATACACACGCTTTGCAGACGTCATAGTCATATGTATGAAAGCATTTACATTGTACAAAATACAGTAGGCTCTCTTTGCTCATTCAAGCACACTTACATTCAGACACGCATGCATCCCTTTTGATGTTCACTGGTAAACTTAGGCAAGCGTAATTCAGCAATTTTCTTTTCTCTTCAAGAGGGCCCAGATCGATATTTTTTGACATTCTTTGCAAAAACAATATAATTGAAATCCTTTTATTTTTTTTGTGTGTTAACATTTCATGTATCGAAGATGCAATGGTCACAAAGCCGAACAATCAAAAACAAAAGGAATGTGTTCATTCAGTGAAATGGAAATTAGAGAAACAAGAAATAATTAGTTATCTTATTTAACAAAATATTTCTTCCTATGCTACAGCTCATCTGAGCATAAAACAATTATCATCTTAGAAAAACAAACATTAAAAAAAAAAAATGAACAAGTGACAATCTACTAGCTTATTCTACCATCATAGAAAACCCAATCCACTTGTTCAGCACACTGGCCATATTTGATATGACCACCGGGCTATTTAGCACTCAGCAGAATCGATGCATCCATTGGAGAATCAATTGGAGAATCAATCAATTCCTTTCCAGAAGTCTGTATTGTTCTTGAAAAGCAAAACAAAAAATAGAGGAAAAAAAAGTAGAAATAAAACAAATCTCGCCCCTGCCTTCTATTGCATACAGGCACCCACGGAATTCCCAAAGCTTTTACAGTTCAGAACGCTTCCAACGCTCCGTGCTTTGACTGTAGGAGTCGATATCCCTGCCCACTAAAGACAAGGGACTCGACTCATAAGCGGTATATTTCTCCTTCGACTGAGGATGATGTGAAGCGTAGTCAAACCCTAATCAACCCCAAACTTCTTATCTTTTCTGTCGTGTGAAATAGCAACAATGAAGGGCGTGGATCCCCCTCCCCCAAACAACCGAGCTGATATTGATCTCTAATTTACTCCAGCATTGACTTCATTGAGCTTTCTCTTTTTTACTGTTGTTCTCTTGCTTTGTGCTGTGTTGCAAGGACGTAGCTATACGTGCTTTTTGTTCTCTGTAACTGCTTTTGCTGTCGAGGGACTCGAAGTTCATTACAAGCTGAAAATGTGGTTTGTGATGGAGAGGCATAAAACGGTGACCCAGCTCCACAGAAATGTTTCTTCTTTTTAAATTTATTGTGTTCGTGTTAGCCTCTAGAAGTGCGGATGCTCGACCGACCCGGCATCGGCACTGAAGTGCGCGGTAATAACAATCTGTCTAAAGCCGTTACTCGTCCTCGTAGAGTTTTCCACTAGTTCTCTGCATGAAGCTGAGAGTTGACACTGCGTTATCCAGTCAGGCCTTTACAACAACACAGCCCCAGCTGCTTGCACAAGTTCCTGACTATAATAGGACAGGGGCATTCCTCTCCAATCCAGATCTCCTGATGGAAAGTTCCAAAAAGACCCTTAAAAACAAACGTGAAGAGGCTAGAAAGCAAAGACAGGGGGCGATGGTGATCAGAGGAACTTGGCCAAGCTCTGAAAAACACTTCAGTTCATGTCGGTTCAGTTATGTCACCATGGCATTGGGGGGTGGCGTCCGTTTGGGGCAGCGGGGTGGAGAGCCGGATTTGGGGCGGGTCTCAGCTATTGTTAGTGTGGTTGTAGGTCCTGCACGGTGATGGGGATGAGTTGGGCTGGTAGTCAAATTTGCCGAGCGCTGTGGGATAGTAGGTGGTGGTGTAGACGTTCGTCTGCTGGAGCGGTGTTGGGTAGAAATTGGATCTTTCATCTGGCAGCAGGTTGTTTTTATTCAGTGTCTGAAATAACACAGAAGGGAAGAAAGTCGCATTAAAATCATATGCACACTATGAAACACTATGCCAGCAGACAATATTCTATAAACATTAAACAGCCAAGTAAGCCATCCCCTTTATTTACCATCTTCATGCTAAGCTAAGCCAACTGTCTTTGTCTTTAGCCTCATAATTATTATACCCACATGAGTAATCTTATCTTCTAACTTGGTGAGGAAGTGAATGTGAATATATCCTCGAGTTGTTTGGCTGCCAAAGCAATAAAAATACTTCAGCATGTTTCCAATGCAAATGAGCTTGTCAAGTATTTTTTCCAAAATAAATGTTATTTTACTGAAGTACACTCGACTCTTATGCAGCTCAATCTGCTTCGTTACAGATACAGGCATCCACTTCTGGAAAATCCCTCATACATGTAGAGCTGGAAAATAACGCAACACTGGAATATATTTTCAGTCACTTTCAGACCAAGTTTTGAGGATTCAATTATAGATGGAATTCTTGAGACAGAAATAGGGTTTTTGGCGTGGACAGTTTTGTTTTGCATTCCTCAGAGGTGCAGATAATATAGAAGTTAATCTTCCCTGCAGGTAAATAAAATACCTCCAGTAGCTTTGAGGTTATTGTGTGAGCGAAAGTGTATTCATAACCAAAGCAAACCAATTTAACAAATTTAATTTGGATCTTGTCAAGCATACTCAATGCTCTTAATATAGGAGATGGCGGGAATTCATTGGAGCTCTCAAATAAAAACAAGTCTAAAACCCACATTTTATTCTAATGCATTTGCTGAGTCTCTGGTAAAAGCCGACCATAAGGTGAAACACTTTCCAGGGGAAGCATTAGACTAATGTAATCCATCTGAACAGCTCTGGGGAGCAGGGCAGGAAGATAATCAGGTTAGAGTCAGTGAAATGCACAACAGTGGGCAACATAAATTGGCCTGGAGGAGAGGGAAGCCACTGCATAAACAGTGCCGTAGTGCTACATGGTGACATCGGATGCACATCCAGCAGAGTCTGGCTATCCCCTCTGGTCATTAAAGCTAATGAGTTCGGGCTCTCAACACCACGATGGCTGTCAGCAACACATCCACACAACCGCCAACAATAACAGTGAAGACAACAAGTATCGAGAGGCTGACACAATCAAAAAACACTGGGATGAGAAACAGTTATTTGGCACCACGTTTGTTGATGATGAATGATGAATCTGCGCTTGGAAACACTGGCTGGCAAAAAAATAAGTTTTGTACAGACTTAAAATAGCTTTATAATACTATGATACTTCTATTTTAATATTACAGGCTTTTACTAAGAAGATAGTGAGCAAAGTGACCATCTTTACATATGCCATGATGCTTGTGAGGTGGACAGCCTAATCAAATTGTGGTCTGATGTGCACAGTAACCTCTAGAAACAGACAACATACTGTGCGAATATATAAAATCAGTGGCAAAAGGAATTATGTGTGTTATTTGCAGTCAGTTTGCAGTCTGGCAGGTAAACGGTCTGTGTGGAAAGGAGAAAAAAGGGCCTCTATTTGTCCAAATGTAACCCTGAAACACGAATTTAGCTTCTTCTTTTTTTAAAATTAGTTTTTAACATGCATCTTTAAGCAAAGACCAGCACATTCACAGCTAAAACGAAGATTATCTTATCGCTGTTGCCAAGTGCTTTGTCAGAGGGGTCGTCTGATTGTTGGGGTCTTAACCTTACAATGTCAAGCGCTGGGGCAACTGTCATTAAACTGACGCTATATAATTAAAGTTGAGTTGAAATGAAATGTTATTAAAAAAGATATTTAGTGACAAACACCAACAGACTGCAAACACGAGGTTAATGTTAAAAAAGCATGGCCCAGTTTGAACCTCATCCCACAGGCCTTAAACTCAAAACTCTCACAGACTTATTTGACATCATCTGGTGAGTGCCTGGCTGCAATAGTAAAATGTGGATGGCCCAGTCCTTTGTGAGAGATATCATGACGTAACATAGATTTTCTTCTATGTGGGGGATTTTTTTTTATGGCTGAAGCACTCGGGACCAAATCCCATCCAGCCTCTTTCCTTAAGGTGTCTACACTGCAAGATTTTGACAACCTTATAAGTTCATTACAGTCCACACTGTGTGACTTGGATCTAATCAACCTGGCTAGGACATCAAGTTTGATGCATGGAGACAGTATGATGAAAATACCTACTGAGGCGGTGCCAAGATGCATGGCTGTTACTCCTCCGTTATTTGTCTCCATGCTACGTCCCCCTTGGCGCAGTCATGATAACAGCTGAGGGACACATCACACAAACAAGCTTCTGCTGCCACAAGTCAACTGGATTTTATTCTTTGTTTGAATTACAAACATTTCATTTGGAACATTTTACTTCCATTACTCCATTTGCATTTTTTTCCACTAAAGGGCCAGCGTCAAAATGATTAGCGCGACATCGCCATGCTGCATTCCTGTTTGTAGAGTAGTAGTTGTAAGTTTGTCCGTGACAGCCCAAAACTGCATATTATACAGCCGCCTTCACAAGAAGGAGGAGGTGCAGATGCAATTGTTAAATGATCATTGTAGTATTTTTTTTTAAAATATAAATGAATCCTCTACGGTCATTCAGAGAGGCAGGAGGGAAGGACACCTAACCAGAATGTTTACGACAGATACAATTTCTGATTTTGGAGTGAAAAATCAAACCTCCTAGTTTTGCTCAAGAAGAGTTTAAGATAATTTTTTCAGCTGTTTCTCAAAAGCATCTTGCAGAAACAGGAACAAGAAATGCAATAACAATATCCCAACTCAATCAGAGAGTAAAACAATTGAAGGATGCAAAATGTCACTAAAAGTCTACAGGCTTCTAAGGAAAACAGCTTCTTGACTTGCTGTAAATGTGAATGCACAGTAGACCGATAGTAGTGGGAGGTCGCAGGCTGACTAATGCTTTAGAAAGCTAATGAGCCCCATTCATAAGGGCTTGGTGCAGGTAGTAAAGCCATACAGACTCCGTATAGGAGCGAGAAGGAAGAGAAATTAACAGTAATTCATCTTCTGCGCGTACTGCACCATTGAGATAAATGAATGAATAAAAACTCTAAATAAAACATGAATCACACCCACTGCCCTTGAATCCTTAATATTTACATTGTGTGCGTGTTTGTGTATTTGAATAACACCAAGTAAACAGCACTTTCATTTGTATTTCTGCATAATATTGTGTGCTTCACTTACCTTAAACTCCATTGGTGTGTACTTCTCATTCTTTGGCGTGGTATTGCCCTTGTAGTTGAGGTGGTTTGGGGTGGTGGGATGAATGATGGCAGACTCTTGAGAAGGCTTGTGGAAACGTTGACAGTACACATAGATCAGGAAAGATAGCAGCCCCGCCCCAAGGAAACAGGAAACACCAGTGGCAATTAGGTGGATGGAGGTAAATGCTGCAAAATAAAGATGACACACGGTGTTAGCAAAGCTTGAGTACATATTATTAGCTTGAAAAAGGACATTTTTCAACACCCATATTTACCATGTGTAATGCATTAAATTAACCCGTAAACTCTGAAATACCATGAAATAATTGCTCAGAAATTCACATCTTTTCAAACTAGAGTGTTCATTTACCTTGTTAAAAACTTCCCAAACTCATAAAGCCAAACCTGCTGCTTGGCTGCCATGGAAGGATCATCAGCTAATCCAGATAACCTGTGTCTTGCAGGCCATAAAAGCTGGCCCAGGTAAACTGCTCAGGTGCTCTCTTCCACTCCACCTGACTTTAACCTATTGGTGATCTGTTTCTTGGTTAGGTTATGTTTAATATATATTTTTTAAATATTTAAGTAAACCTCTTGTGTGAAGGTGTGTGTCACCTACTTTGAACCAGTTTGTGGCAAATGGGGGCTCGTCCGGGATCTTTAGACCGATTGGTAAGATTGAACTTTGAGTCAGTGCTGACTTACTAACTTAGCTTTAGGTTTGCTAAATGCTTATGCAAGTTGAACTAAGTTCTGAGTACAGCTTAAAGTAGTAATGGTATTTAGCATTGTGAGGAGTATCTTAGGGAGTTCCACACAAGATAGAATTCTTTGGATCGGTTACAATAATTTAGGTATTCTGTGGTTGATGTTGGAAGAGAGTAGCAATAGCATAGTGCTTGGGTGTTAAACCCATGAATTTACAGTTTCATTGTGCTTTTGGTGAGTATAGCCACACGAGTCTCTGAGCCATGCATCTCTTTTGTAATGGTTCATCTCAATAGGAGACCAACCACGCTTTCTCTTTAGTGTGACAGCTTGTTGAAGACAATGTCTTGGGAGCATTTATCTGGTTTCCAGAAACTTGCTAGTTTGCTCTTTGGCACCGTTGTTTTTGGTGCATATGCATCTGTCTGAAGACTAGGGTTAAGATCAACTTGTATTAAAAAACTAGGACTAGGGAGCATAAACTCTGTGTCTAGTGCTTCACCAACATATTTGTCGTGTTGATTTGTGGCCTTACTGGACACATGGCTGGACCAGCCTTCTGGTGTAACTATCTGACAAAGTGTAACTGGTAAAATGTGTGAAGGGTAAGAGTTCCAAAGTTGAACTAGAATAGTGCTGTGAAATATTTAAACTTGGTAGTTTGGTCTGGTAGCTTTGTTGTAGACCCATTATCTGCTTTGCTTTGAGCTTTGTTGTAGCTTTGTTCCCCCTTTGTTGCCGTCTTGGCCATTTTGGTTAGTATTGACGTTTTTGCTTGGAGGAACCTTTTGGTGTGCTACTGTGGTTGACGCTCATACTTTAAATCCAGTGTTGTGTGGGGGGTGTATAGCTGCAGACTATATGGCAGCACTTGTGATGAGATCTGGTGCTCATTTAGGTACCAATGAGTAGACTTTCACTTGCTGTTAGGTTAACTGTTTCTTTTTCGTGTTGAACCTATTTGCAAAGATTTGCTTTCTGGGGCAGATACTACTTTCCCTTTCTGTATACCAGTTACACTATTAGAAATCTCCTGTAATTAGAACCCATTTTGCCTCGTATTCCTATAACCGCCAACATTCACTTTTACTTCCCACCACTTAATTTGTTCCTGTGGTAGGAAAATTGGATTTAGTAAGGGGGTGGATGTCAGCTCATTTGTGGGCCAGGTTGTGTGGAAGCCATTTTAATGTTGCCTTCTATTGTTGCTTTTTTGTTTTCTCGTTTCAGAATAATTTGCAGTGTCAACGCGGAATCGTGATTTTTAAGGAGGGTGATGTTAAGCCCCTCCCCCACTTATTAAAGCCCCGGTCTGCTGTTTTGCTGGCATGGGAGGATCGTCAGGTAACATAGGCCACCTGGGTCTTGCAGGATATAAAGGTTGGCCCAGGTGAACTAGTTAGTTGTGCAGGGAAATACTCGGACCATCCATCAGCAACCAAATCACTTAAATCACTGTTTTCCCCAATCAAATACTTCACAAGGTCATCTTTACTATGTCTTCATTCCTAAATGCACTGAGCTCCTGCCATGTGGTTGGTTGATTAGATATTTAAGTTAATGACCAGTTGAGGTGTACCCACTAAAGTTGCTCATAAGAATATAAAGCAAGACTGAAATACGACCGTCCAGGGTTCTTTTCCTGATGTATTTTGTTATCAGTGCAGTTAAAACATCTGTAGGACTTTTCTATCAGTAGGTATGAGGCCATTAAAAACATGAAACGAAAGAGTTGTCCTTCCTCCTCCTGACTGGCTGTTAGGAATTCTAACAGACTATAATAACACATATGAAATGGACATATAAATATATACAAATATAATGTATGAAAACACACATCATGGACAGACATCTGTGGAAACATACAGGGGGAAAGAAAAACCCTGAACATGCACAGGGAGATGAAGCGGAGGCAGCTGTTAATCCACTTACCTCCACAGTGTTGGTCCTTATCAAAACCAGATGCAGGGAGAATGACTGCAGAGAGGAGAGGAACACACAGTCAGACACACACATGCATGCACACACACACACACACACACACACACACACACACGCATTCCCTGGTGTAACAGCCTTCAGAACACAACAACAACTGGTTGCAACATCAGGGGAGTTGACACATGCTGAAAAAAGATGGTAAATGAAAAATTTAAATGTCTCCTCAATGATGCACAAACGGTCCATGGAGATTTTTTTGCTTTTAAAAATCAGGGTATTTCAAGAATTTCTAGAGGAAAATTGACTTGAGCGAGAAGCAACAGCCCCATTGAACTGAACCTGTCTAGATGCTGTGATAGAAACTAAGGGGCAGGACAAACATTTACAGGTACAGCACGACCTTTCTACCAGCTCCACTCTCATTGAGCTTCTTCAAAGGAAGAGGAGGAGCAGGAAGGCCTGTGGCTTTCAGTTGTTAAATATTGCAGTTCCTCATTGGACTGAATTTCTTTTAAATTTTCAACTTCTTCACAGCTGCCTCCCTTGTGCAAGTGACCTTAACAAATCCATCCTTCGCCTCATTGAAATCTGCAATAAAATTAGATGTGATTTGCTGTTGTGACAACCCATTAATATTAATCGCCTTTGTCTGGACTCATTAGGGATTCTTAGCCTGGAGAGGCCTATGCTGGCAGGCCATGGAAGATCATTTCAGGAGAAACTTTCTGAAATCGGCATCAGCAAAACAAGGTGTGCCGAGGCCAGTTGGGTCAGCTGCTAACTTATTGCATTCACATGGACTTAATTATGGTTAGTCAACATGAGCAAATGAGTTTTGTGCACAAAGAGGATGTCGACTACAAAGACACAAACAATATGTGCTTTTATTTATGGATATCTGTTTTAGGATGAAGACTGTGATGATGCTGATTCTGCGTACGTACAACCTGGACAAACAAACAAGTTATGGCTTTTGGAGCGAGCTGCCAGTGAAGATTTGGCAAATCAAAAATCTTGGCAAAATAAAATCCTGAAGTTGTGCCTCATATTAAGCTTGAGTAAACCCACAAATTGATGTCGAAGCACTAACATGATGGTGATACTGAAGATTGTTAGCCCTGGTTTTGGTTTGTGTAGTTGAGAATTGTTAGATAATAAACTGATCAGTTGCAGGGCAGAGTGCCAATATTATCATTTATCTAAAAGGGGACGTGGTATGCTTTTCTTATTTTATCTCATAAATGTGTATACTGTTGCTGTAGTAGATCACCAAAGCACAGAGGCCAAGTATACATAGGAAAAATCAGCATGACTGTAAACCATGCAAAGGTATTCTAATAACAGTCCAAGAATAAAAGTATGTAGTCGGAAATGAGCATAACAATTCTGAGACTTTCAGTCATGTCTAAGCAAAAGCTTTTGGCTGTAACACAGTTAGCATGCATACACTACACATCTTGGAGAGGTAACTCATTTTATCAACAGAAGAAAGCATGTCAGATGAATAACAGCAGCGCACTTAACAAAACCCCGAAAATAACATCAAAGCAGTGGAGAAACTTTAGAGATAAAGTCAAACGCAAAACAGGATGGAGAGCGATATATGTGAGAGGAGCCTTCCTTCTGCTCGAGAGACACTATTTGCAACCACACACACAACTGATCAACTAACTAATTACACGACTTCCATTCCATCTGCTCAGTTTGTAAATTATGACTTTTGTCTTCTCTAAAAAACATTAATAACTGCATAGACATGAGTAAGAGTAGCCCATATTACCAGTTGTTTCACACACCTGTTGGTACCAGTAGATCAAGCTGCAGTAGAAGACCTTTCAGGTTTGAGTGTGGGGTGGGCATTGTATTGATACAAGGACACCAAATATTGATATTCTGTTAAATGATTACCTTATTTAACAGAAGGGTTTGTCACAATGGGTCCAGTCATGTTTCACAAATCCCAGCACAGCTTTAATGACAATTTCCTTCAGTTAAATGCAGATAAAACAGAAACTTTGATTATTGCACCTGATCACATGCTCTCAGAAATTAGGCAGCATATCAGTTTTTTAGACCCTTCATTTCAGTCGAGTCTCAGAAACTTAGGTGTTATATTTGACAGTTCGATGTCTCTTGAGAAACACTCTAAACAACTTGTCCGGAACTGTTTTTATCATCTAAGAAACATTTCTAAACTCAGGCTACTGGTGTCAAAGGCAGAACTTGAGATGATTATTCATGCTTTTATCTCTTCTCGTTTGGATTATTGTAACGGTCTTTTTACGTGTCTTAACAAATCAGCTCTGGATCGCCTTCAGTCTGTTCAGAATGCAGCGGCAAGACTTTTAACTGGTACAAACAAGAGGTCACACATTACTCCAGTTTTGGCTTCTCTTCATTGGTTGCCTGTAAATTTTAGGGTTCATTTTAAAATTTTAGTTGTAACTTTTAGAGCTCTGCATGGTGAAGCTCCCCAGTATATCTCTGACCTGTTGAAACCTCATGCTTCATCCCGAGCACTTAGGTCTTCAGGTCAGAGGCTACTGGTGGTCCCACGTACTAGATTTAAAACACGTGGGGATCGGGCTTTTCAGGCACTGGCACCTAGGCTGTGGAACTCTCTGCCGTTGTCTTTACGCTGTCTAGACTCTACTGACTCCTTTAAAAAGCAGCTGAAGACATTTTTATACAAATGGGCTTTTAACTAATTTAATTAATTTTAACTTGTATGTCTGATCTTACTGTAAAGCACTTTGTGATTTTTATCTGTGAAATGTGCTATATAAATAAATTTTACTTACTACTTACTTACTTACTTAAAAATGACTTCCTACAACAGGTTCGTTTTTAAGTACAAGCATGAGCCACTTAGATATTTTGTCATTGAATACAAATAAGCCCTCTGACTATGACTTACATTTTTTCCCCACACTGACAACGCTTTCAGAGCACGTCAAAATGCTCCAAGTGTCTGAAAATATTGTCAGCCTCCTGGGGGTAACTATTAGTTGTGTTGTCATTCAGTTTTGTTGCCATTAAAATGACACAAAATGTACAAAATCTGAAAAAACAACAAAAAACAGACAAGGCTGAGCCACTAGAACAGCTAGCTGTTTGTGTACCCTCGCTTTGCACATCAAAAATGTGTGCTTACAACTTCCCATAAAACAGCATCATGGAGTTTTTGTGACAAAGGCAAGCTAAAGCCATGATGGAATAAGTGAAAAGCAGCGTGTTTGGTGACATTCGAGGACACAAAATAAAATACAGGCTGCTCCCTCAAAATCAGAGAAAAAGGAAGGACGCTCGCAAGGAGCTCTTGAGAGGCCAACACTGAGCTCTGATGAGAATGTTGAAGGACGCTTCACGGTTACAGTATGCATCTGAGAGCTCACCGGGTATTTCATTGCAGTCTCTACGCTGAGTGCTGTTCCCCACACAGGGGGTGTTGCCCTGAGCACCACACACACGACTCCTCATCTGCAGGCCTGAGTCATCACAGGCCGACCACAGCGACCAGGCCATCCAGCCACCTAAACACAGGAAAAAAGAGCAATAAATAAAAACCCCAGCAACCACAAGGCCACATCAAGCTCACCCTCAGGCCTGGAAAGCAATGGGCCCACCCAAGCTGTCACCACCTGCGGGAACCTTTCACATTTCTGCACAGCCAAAAAAAGAAAAAGAAGAAAAAGAAAAAGACCCCAAACACACCAAAAGTGTTTGTGATGTAAACGGGATTGGAAGAGCAAACCAGAAGAGTTTGTTTAGTGCATAGCTGAGATGTTTGTCTCCCGAGCCAAGCTTTCGTGCTGTATCCCCGCAGCAGGCGACCGAGCAGTAAACAAAAGACTCCCACCAAAGAGGAAAGAGAAAATGCCCAACTTTCAACGCCTCCCTTTGAACCGTGCACTTGCTGCACTCTTTCGCTCCCTGTATTTAAAAGCACCAGAGTGGAGGGAGCACAGGCTACCACAAATGAAAACCTGATGAAAAGCTGGTTTGTTATTCAGCGTGCTCTCAAGTGTGCAGTTTTGGCAGAGAGAGCCTCAGTGGAGGCAGAAGGACAGGCCTTCTTTTACCTTTCCTATCAGGCGGACGCTCACCAACAAGCTGCTCTGCTCTCTGCTCCATTCGTTCTGCACAACCACCTAGACACATGAAACAAACTGACCAGCTCAAATGTGTGCAATAACCGTGCATCACTACAACCGGCTTTAATTGCTTCATTTATTCCCATTTATTTTTGTCACCCAGACGACCTGCGTGATCACACTGTAGAGTCGGAAAGAACAGCATCAGGCCTGCGGGCTGCTCGTTAGTATTCTGTCCTGACAGTCCTACCTGCTGTCCTCCATTACTGGTGGAGACTTTAATCAAATGACCTGCGACAGAGGCATCAAATATCCTCGTGACTGACAGCCAGCTTGCCTCTAATTACACATGCGGCGAGGTCGGCAGCACCAGGAAGACCCCAATAGATGACTGATGTTCGCCTGTCAATAAGCGAACAGATGAGGAGACAGATAGGGATCGAGAGAGACTGCCGGCAGCCTACTGGTGCGGGGTTAACAGAGATTGTTGGTCCGCATCAAACAGGAAAACATTAACCTGATAAAGGAGGCTGATTAGCATCTTGGCAAAGAGGGGAAAAGACAGAAAGTCATTTACCTTTCTTTGTCTGTAATTACCGAGGAGGCTGACTGTAAGCGTTACCCTCCGTGTGAATGACAGTCGGACTGATTTAAAAGGAAAAGCATCTGAAGAAGGTGACTGTTAAGAAGAAACGGCTGTTGAAATCTGACAGAAGTCATCTGCACTATAACACATCTGTCTACACTCACACATACACGTGAGCATCCCAGACAATGACTATTTGTCTGGGCCTGTTTTTGTTTGCCAGCAGACTAAACTGGTTATGGAAAATCAAGTGTGTGATCATGTATGAGTTGTATAGTTTTAATGTTTTATTTGGGAACAGATGGTGATGGAGTTTTTATTATGAATGAATGATGAATTTTTATGAATTATTATGTCTATTTTTATGCTTGAGGACAACAGATGGAAATTAGTCCTTGGCTATAATCTGGTATGTTTCCATTCATGTAATTTTTTTTTTTACATTTATGTTCATTAACATGCACTGTCCTAAATAAATAAATAAAAAAATAAAAGAAAGAAAGAACAGATGACAAATCACACGTTAGTGACAAAACAAGGCTGTTTGAAATGAAACCTTAGAATCAGAATCGGGATGAAACCTTATGAGTTCGGCAGGTGGACTTTTCCCCCCATCCTCCTGGATTAGCAGGCAGATCTCTCATGAATATTTCAATGTCCTTGTGGGAGCAGAGTAGAAGTAGACAGGGGGGGGGCTTGTTTTTATACATCTCACATATCATCACATGTGGGGAAAGCAAGGCTAACCTTCAAAGTAAAAGGGAAAAGAAGAATACTCAAACTTTTTTTTGTTCTTATTTAAGTCTTCTTCCCTTGTGTTTCTGTTATTTTAACTTTTAAGGTATAGATATGTTCTTAAACTAAATACATAAAACTTACCTGTAGTCATAGCTAGATTGTTTTATTTGTCCAGGTATTTAGGATGCCCGCCTCTTAGATGTTTTAACCTTAGCAATGAAACTGGACATAAGTCTGCGTAATCCACAAAGTTTGGCAGAACATCTGAATTTTACACGAGGCCACAGATCTGAAACAAAGGTGCAGCATGAACTGTTTTATATTCCACTTTCTTTTTGCTCTGTAAGGTCAGTTTAAAGTTAAGAGACTTAACGTAGTGCACCAATTGTTGTCTGGAAGCTATACCATACTCACCATCTTATCCTGGACAGACACTGTGTGATTTTTGGCCCATTTTGAGCCGATTTTTGAGTCGTGCGACCGTTTTGGCGATCGGCCCGATTTTGGCCTTCATCGTGCGTCGTGCATCGTGTAGTATACGTGGGGTAACGAGATGCGATTAACACCTCACGACCAGCTCCCGATCATCAATCGCTTGGTCGTGAGGGTGTCACCGCAGTTTCTCACACTGCGCACGCACAAACACAAATGTCGGCGAAAAAGACGGCGCAGCACGGCAGTGCAGCGTGTGATCTGGACACAAGCGATGGAGGCACAACTTGTAGAACTTTGGAAAGCTCATCCGAGCCTTTTCGATTTGGCCTCACAAAATTATCACGACCACAACAACCGTGAAAATAGTTGGATCTACATTACTGCTCAATCACAGCTGCCTGACCAATGTTTTTCATTAGCAATTTAGCAAAGTTGATGGTGGTGGTGTGTCTGTGTGAGTGAAAGCCAGAGGGAGAGCAAGCAACATTATTTCTGTTATAACCTTCATTTTATGGACGCACAGTGTGAGCACTCAGGTCGCATCAGAGCATCTGGTCGTATAGTGTGAGACCCTGCATCGTGACCTGCGAACTTCTAACCCCTGCGAGTCAATCGTGCAGTTTGAGCAGGAGCTCTGGAAAAAAAAAAAAAATCGCACAGTGTCTGCCCAGCATTAGTCATGAATGCTAGATAAACACTGTATCACTTTTATTAAATACATTGAGAGAAGTAATTATTTGATCTCCTGTTGACTTTGTTCATTTTTTGAGCAAACTTACAATCATTTTAAAAAGAGAAATAACATAAACCAAACATCCAGAAAAAGCACATTACATAAAAGTTAGAAATTGAATGCAATAGTGTGTCATTAAGTGGCTTAGTACTTGCAGGAAAGCACAGCAGTAAGTCATTTCTTGTAGCTTGTCATCAGGTTTGCACACATCTCCTTTATATTTCTTGGTTACTGCTTGGCAACTCGAAACTTCAGCTCTTAATTGTTATCAATCAGTTATAACCTGTAGAAGCCAGAATGGGTGGGTTGCACTTATTTCACTGTGACACGCAAATCAATTTTCAATTGTTTGATTTTTTTATGTAATGTAGGTTTTCTTCATTTTGGTTGATATTCTATCTCTCCATTAAAATGAATGTGTTATCTAATACTATGTGCTTTAAGAGGCCTTTCTGCAGCTACCGTATTAATTCTCTGCTCACACTCTGCAGGTTCATTGATATGTTTGTTTTGTATGTTTTGTCCACCTAATATTTTTTTTGTCTTCAGTCTTGATAAAGAAAGAGAAAGTACTTGCTACAGTATTTAAAGATGGAGTGCTCCAGTCTAGAGAAAGTTAATTGATATTTGAACTCAGCAGCCAAAAACAAAGGTTTCATTGCACCTGCAGAAAAAACAAACAACCTCTATGAAGCTGAAATAAAGTGCCAGGTCCTCCAATGGCCACTAAGACTTTGTTAAAGGTTAAGTAAGGGGCATGACTGCAACTTACTCAACCTTTATTAGCAGGTGAAACAAAGCAAGGAGCTGTAGCTGGCAACTCTCCGCTACAGCTCGCACCACCACTAATTAAATTCACTGAACTGCAAATATTTAACATGTCTTTTGCAAAAAAAAAAGAAAGAGGAAAAAAGAAGTAATAAATAAATCTGTGAATTACAGACTGTTCAAGATATATTACTTAGCACAAGGCAGCAGATGCCTGTATCTGTGCATTGTAAGGATACAGTTTATGGATGCAGTTTGCTAAGGAAACTTGCCAGCCTCAGATGATCACTTAGGAATCCACCTGCTGGTCTAAATAAGGCAACTAACTTTGGCCTTTGAAAACAACATGGCCAAAATGCTAATGTTTCAACATGCAACGTCCGCTAACCAATGGATGATGCTGTGATGGCTATATCTATCTACACCCCACATTGACAAATTCACGATAGAGTGTTATCTATTCACAACTGGCCTATCTTATCAAAAGGTAACAAAACACACATTAAAACATAAGACCTTATCAGACAAATAACATTAAAGAAGATGAATTCAGCAACCCTCCAAAATAAATGACCCTCCTCCTGCAGCTCTCCCTTTCCTGCTCTAACCCCGTTCTATCAGATTCATATTTAGTATTTTGCTCTCTGGAGAAGGACCAATGTGTAATCTTTCAGCTGGAAGCAGCACAAACATAATTCCATTCATCTCCACAGTGAGCAGAAGCAATGTTCTTTTCTAATGCACTGCTTGTATTCAGGTGTGTAGCAAAGTGAAGCTGTGTGAAAGAAAAGCCAGGAGAGGTGCATGGGCCTTTGTCAGGCATGCTTGAGGATGGTTTATGATCGAAACGAGACCAGTGGCAGCAGAACTATCAATAATGAGCCTCCTGAAATCTGGCCAAATAATACAACATGGCTAAAATCCACAGAGAATAGCGAAGAAAATATGTTGGTTCTGTAAAATCCATCTCATAAAGCTTTTTAAGTAATATTACACACATACTGTCTACACCTGGGCATTCAAAACCTCAGATTGATTAAATAAGATATCCATATGTACCACAACATCAGTGGATCTCTTTTCAAAGCTTTCTGGAGGGGTTGCCATGGTACTGCGAGTTCCAGCAGCACAGCAGGAAATGGCACGGTGGGAGGATGGGTTGTTTTCTGTTTATCTTCTCACATATCTAAGACCTGGTTTATTCATTAGGAAAAGATGAAAGAAGCAATTTAGCAAAGGGGACGACACAGAAATTACACGGTGTGGGAAATGATTGCCTGCCCGAAGGTGTGATAAAAGCACCTGAGCAGTGGTGACACGGCAGAACAAGACTTTGAATTTCTATGTGACCTTACCATCGCAAGGGTGTGTGTTGCATAGGGCTTCCTCGGTGTGTAGTCCTATGCAAATGTCTCCACCATTGGAAGGCGCGGGGCTGTTACAGGAGCGTGTCCGCTGGTAGTGCCCGCCACCGCAACCCACTGAGCACTGAGACCAGGACGACCAGCAGGACCAGGCACCGTTCACTGTAAGGCACATAAAGGAACGTGTCACATAATCACATACCGCTCTGACTGATATGATAATGTGCTGGCTGTAGATGCACACTGCACCAGTAATGACATTTTCTGAAGGCATACTGGGATTAATTTAGCTCAGTCTGAACACCACGGACATCTAATTAACGACGCCAAGAAGGGATCAGATATCACATCCTCCTACAGCGATAGTTAGGACTGCGATGCGTGACCAGCTGACATTGAATCCTTTACAAGAGACAAAGAGGTTGATATGCAACTTTGCAAATGAATATTAAATTTAGCATTTTCCCATTGTATATTACTCTGGTTAGCATTGATTGATGTTTTTAAAGTGACATTAGTGTGTGTGCTTTCAACAGCTATGGACTTGAGACTTAAAAACAGAATTCAGTTACAAGTTATCTGATTTTAAAAGCTGGTGTTTAAAGTGTTGCAGTGCGGTTTTGATGACTCAGAAAGATCTGGGCTTTTTGTCAGAGGCTATGTTCAGCTGCTCCCTTATTCACAAGGGGCTGTCACAGCAGGTAGGTCCACATATTTGATTTGGCAGCTTTTTTTCCCTCTACCAGATGCCCTTCCTGACGCAACTCCAAAGGGATTTGTGTCTTCTCCTAGGATTATACTAGGGATGTATCACTTGCACCTTTCAATTGCACCTGCCTGATGTAACCCCAGGCTATATGAAAAGACAAAATGTTTTAACCCTGATGTAAAGTTGCTTGTTGCACCGACTGCATATTCTTTTTGGGCATTTAAACCTTGTGCAAATGTTATTGCTAAATATAGCAAAGCCAAACAGAGCATTTACCCTACCTATTAGAGCCCAGCTGGTGGAGATGGGCTCAGGAAGACTAACAAATAGAGAAAAAAGAAAAAGAAATGGTGCTCCAACAAACACAATTTGTCCATGATGGCTTATGTTTGTGTTTCTTTTTCATATTACAGGCATCTATCATTCATTTCTGTCTTACTTTGAACTACTCTTGCACACACAGTCTGTGCCTGTGCTCTGCTGTCTTCCTGATCACATCATAGCCTACTTTGTCATTACTGTGTCCTGCATTATATTGATTTATTCTCCCCATAGGTGCCGTTAATGTTTCATTTGATCTAATCAGAAGAGGGTGACTGACTAACTGAATGGCTGGTTGACTGGCTGATGTCTGTCTGGCTGACTGATGGGGAAGAGCAGTGTTGCCAGGTAACATCACAGTGCTGCAGAAAATTCCATTAGCTGAGTGGATTAGTGTGACACCGAGTAAGGCAGGCTGTGAGCACTTAACTCTGACTAACTCTCACAGCCAGTCCCTGCTCTGCCTGACTAACTGGCTCTTTACCCGGCTGACTGGTTGAGCGTCTGACTCAGTGAGTTAGTGAACAACTCACTGACTTCCTGACTGGCAGTTTACAGTTTTTCTGACTCGTCCCACCTGTCTGCCTGTGCCCCTGCGTGGTTGACTTGCTGTGTTCATTTACATTCAGACATATGAAGTCAACCATGTGTTTGCCCGGCTCCCAAGACAAGACACTGACGTGAGTCAGAGTGAAAACTTTGAAACAAACAAACAAAAATAATTATGCCACGTCTGGTCACTCTGTTAATCAAAGACTTGATTACGAAAGTTGAGATCAAGCTGATATGTCAATTTTAAACACTTAAGACTTGCTTTGATAACTGACTTTTTCCATTTGATCTAATCAGTGTGTTGATTTAAAACTTTGATGGGATGAGTACGGAATGCCAATTAACCCGGAAACGTCAGGTGAAAGACCAAACAGGGCGTCAGTCGCCTTTAAGATGCAAATTTCAAAATTATAGGTGACTTTCTTCTTGAGTGTGAGTTATTACATTCAAAATATTTTCAGAAAACTTGACCTCTAACCTCTGACATTGAGTTCAAGGTCACAGACATTCAAACTCATCCGATATTTTTATTAGCTCATCGATAGATGCATGGAGGTATTAATTTGAAAATCCTACGTCAGCCCATTCTTGAGTTATCACAGCAGCAGTGTCTACTAATGACCAAACATCAGCTACAAAACAAATCACTTTAAATGCGATGAGGGCTTAAGACTTGCTCTGGATTTTTAAATGGTTTGGACATGATCTTCCTTTTTTCTAAATTTGGTAAGGAATGGATGAGAGATGGATGAAAAGGCAAGCTGTCCAGGGTGGACTCCACCTCTCGCCCTATGACAGCTAGCTCCAATCCCCCACCCCCTTTCGTTGTATAAAAACAGCCATCACCTAGATGAGCAAATTTTAGTTTTTGATATCCAACATGACGCTGTATAAATTCTTAATTATCATTTGCTGCATCATGATGCTGCTGTATTATGCCTGTGTGTTATCTATCTATATCTTTGTTTTAACCTGAATCTAATATGATCACCTTAGAAGCCTTAACTACCTGCTGTTAAATCTTGTTTGGGAGAGAGCCAGTCAGAAGGAAGCTGACTTAAAGTGAATGAAACGGGAGGGAGTGAACTGAATGACTGCACCGAAGCCCAAGTAAGATAAATAAGGATTATTCTGAACAGTTGCTCATGCAGAACTACTTTAGTAGACCAGCTGGAGAGGAGCACAATAGGCCTCCTGTAAAAGCTTCCAACACTGAAAATATATTTGATGATTATTTTAATCCTAGAAACGCGAAATGTTTATTGTTTTATGCAAAATGAACTTATAACAATCATATAAAACTCATATCTGAATTAAAAATCTACTCACTGGATGGAAACACACACACTTGTGTTTCCAGTGCACACACTAACACCCTATTCATTTTAATCACCTCAGAGATCTATATTGCCTCCATCCCTCTCTCTAATTTCATCATCAATTACTATTTCGCACTCATTCTCTCTTTTGTCACTGGCCTTGTCCTTCTCACCTGTGTGTCTGCCAGGGACACGTGTGGTGAGACCGGCTGTAAACGTGACAGTAATGGCAAAAAGGCTCGCTCACCGGCTGCTTCCCAGTGCGAAGTAACCAAGGCTGCCTGTCCCAGGCTTCCTTAGGTTACATGTGTCAGATGCAAAGTTAACCGAGAAGGATTGTATTTGGATTCAACAACTGACATTCAAATACACAACAGGAATTTGATCAGCACTGCACCAACATATAATAAATCATTAATTCATAAGGTACCACTCATGAATATTTAAGTCGACACCCTTAAAGCTGAGTTCAGAACTTTATTCAAGAGTGCTTATTGTGTGTGTGTGTGTGTGTGTGTGTGTGTGTGTGTGTGTGTGTGTGTGTGTGTGTGTGTGTGTGTGTCTGTCCTCATTCTGTTTAATAAGTGTAGCCTGTCAATGCAGCAGAAGAGTTCTAGGTCAGCTGATTATGGTTTGATGAGGACTTTGAAATAGATAACTTCATTTGTCCAATAGTGCTTCCTGCACTGCTGAAGCTGCTGGTAACCATTAGCAAATGAAGCTAATGATCCACTCAGCAGTATTTTAGTACCCCCACTGACCTCCCTCCCTCTCTCGTTCTTTTTCCATCTTTTTCTCCGAGTGTGAAAGTGTGGATGTGTGTCGATTATCGACCCACGATATACTGAAGAGGTTAGCAACAGGACACCAACCGCCTTTATCCATCCTCGGTTTATCTTCAGTTTGTGATTACCTGCAATCAGGTTGTACTGGAACACCTGCTGGGATGATACACGACATATTTGAGGATGTGTCATGTGTAATATATGAAGCAGCTAAAGTCCAAAACCTTTGAAAGGCCTTCAGTAAGCCTGCAGAACTATTGCTCAGGACCACAAATTACAAGACAGTCTTGCTGCTTGTGAGCAAAACGTAACAGGGTTTGTAGTGTATCTTCACTGACCTGGACATGCCTGGACATTACAGTCCTGATACTCCACAGGCGAGCCACGGCAGGCCACAGGGGCACTCTTCCCCTCTGGGCCAGAGCAGGTTCGCCGACGGGTGCGATAACCTTTTGCGCAACTGTGTGAGCAGCTTGACCAGGTCTCCCATGATGACCAGCCTGTGCCCGATACTCTCACCACTGGAGTCTTGAGGAGTTCCTCGACAAGGGCTAAAGAGAGAAGAAAAATAGGGGTAAGAAAATGGAATTGAAGTTCCAGTTTAAAGAAATTTCTGCTGCGCTGTTAGATTGAGATCTTAAAGAATTTCACCAGACACACGAAGCATGAAAAGTCTTTGACTGAAAGTCAAACATTGTGTACATGACTTTGCCAGGAGGCATATTTCTTTCTCTTTTCCTTTCAGACTCGGTCTGTGTCTCTCATGCATCCTGCGATTTCCTGCTGTCAGTGTTTCATCAGTTTGTCAGAGTCGATGCGGCCCCCCCAGGAGGCTGACACGGAGAGACAGGTAATCGATTTAGGGAAGGGGGCATTAAAAAGCCACCAGTGGGGAGCAGTGGACTGTGGCCCTGTGCAACTCTCTGTGTGAAGGTGTGTATGTGGGAGCACAGGACTGTGACTCCGTCACTAACAGCATGTAGGGGAGCTAACAGGAGGGCTGTTTCAGCATGTCACAACTCTCCTGGGAGAAATCTTTGCATGCTGCTGCCTTCTCACTTGTTCACAGAGAAGTAGGCCAATTTGTCTGAACTACAGTACTATGTGTGTACACATAAACAAAGATCCAAATATAGACAGAAATTGCTATCCTACTGGAATTTGAAAAACTATTAAATATATAAACAACACTGAAATTTGGCTTTTGATTATCTGCACATTTTCTTTTCTGTTGTCTCTTTTTAAATATCAGAGAGAGCTGAAAAAAGCAACATGCTTTCAGTGTTATAGGTTGAAAAACTATATAAAAACCTGTCAGGATACTGTTAATCATGTGATTTGAGAGGGGACTAGTGTCCTGCACCTCCTTTGGACTCGTATTTTCATGCTTTAGAGGCTCTAACAAGAGTAACAGGCCAATCACATTTAGTTTGAGATCAGATCTCGTAAAATATTTAAAGTAGCATAAAAATGAACAGAAGTCAGCATAGAAAGCTGGATGTCACGGTGCAATGGGTTAAGTAGAGCATTTTTACCTGGGAGAGCAGGTTTTAAATCCAAAAGTCAGCATTGACTTACTTTAGTGTGTATGCCTGAGCTTGTGTGAGGGCCTTAGCACAGATAAGAGAGAAGGCAGGAGCAGGGATGTCTATTTTCATTGACGTTTTTACTGGTTAATCTATAGAGAACATTGATTTGTTCAGGCAGCTGAACCTAAAGGTGGAGATCGGAGCATTTGTTTTTATAGTGCTGCACCACTACAGAGCTTACAGTGCACAATATATGATTACAACACATGGACATCATTACACAGAAACAGATGACACACAAATAAATAACAGAGTAATAGATAACCGTGTTATGTTCAGTTAAGTTATATAAGCGTGGATCGCTAGTTGTCACGTAACAGCCCTTTGAAGGCATCCCAGCGGCAGCAAAGGAGGAGAGATTGTGGTATATAGAAAAGAGATGGATTTTGAGCCTACACTTGATAATGTGAGAGCCCACCTCCCAAACCTGCAAAGGCAGCCTATTTCAAAGGAGGAGAGCTCGGTGAGCAAAGGCTCTATCCTGTAGCAAGCAACATCAGCGAGCGTAATCGACAGATTGGAGTACACACTGGAACAAAGCACTAAAGGTAGATTTGTGTGCCATTCGTGGACAGATTACTGAGTAGTGGTACTCAATAGAAGCCCAGGTTGTGAAGGGGTCAAATCCTCAGTGGGAATATATTGTTAAGTTTTGTGCAGAGAGCACAAAAAAAATCATTTACTTGACTGTTGTTACACGATTGGAGCTACTAGAAGAAAATCTGCTGCAAAATGCATACAGTAAAACTGCATGTTGAATGCCCTGCAATTGGTCCGTGATGGTAAACCCATTATCTGATAAGAGCTCATAGATGTTATATTTACATGGTCACTGTTTCACATTATTTTGGAAGACATATCTGTTTCCATGTTTAATCTTTAAGAAAGTAAGAAATAGTTAAGTCCATTTCCCAGTCAAACATTATCATGAAAATAAGATAGATGGCAAAGTACTATGGACATGTCAAGAAACCACAGAATGGCAGCAAAGGCTTACATGGCAATGATCCAGTATAAAAACGAATGCTATCAATTCAACAATTAATCAGTTTAAGATCTGATGGTGTTTTAACTTGTTGCAGAACAGCTACAAATAGTAAAAGCAAAAGCAGTTAATTTAAGCTATAAAAGTTATGTGACAAACCACAAGCCCCGAGCTGGGAAAAGGGTTGCTCCTCAGTGCCAGCGCTGAAGGAAAACAGCAATAGTCACTCTTAAAAATGTCTGCATTTAAAACTGAGTTGTGGAGCTACTTAGATATCATTGCCAGTATGTGAATTTTATTTGATGCTAGGTTTTCCTCTGAACCCAAGGTGACAGTACTGTAAAATGTGACAATAAAACTCTAGAGACAACAATGGTTAACTTACTATCTGTCTCACAGGCCACTGTGCCATCGTTAGGACAGAAGCGCGTCTCCACCTTCTTCCGTCCAATCTGCAGCTCGTGAGGATCAGACAGGTGGGCCCTGCACATGTAGCGCATCCTCTGCTCTTGACGAGCTCCTCCCTGAGTGACATTGACGGGCATCCAGGGTGTCCAAGGTGTGTTCCTCTTCACCTCTGGACAAGCCTCCAGGTTACAGGCCTTGTACTCCTGAGAAAGAAGGCGGCAGAAGCTATGAGTTTGGTGGGGTTTGTTTCTTCCATTGTTTCTGCCTGTACAGACTGAAGCTAAAAAAGGTTATAAAAACAAAACACACATTACACTGTGTGCATGGGTGCACTGAAAAACTGACACAGAAATGAAAATTGTTCCTCTTCTTTCTGTGAAAACTAAACTGCAGGTGCTTCCCAAAAAACTGTGGAGATGGAACAATTACCTTTTATTTTTCACACAAAATAAGGAAAATCAGGAATGTTACTGATTTCTTTTGTGAATAAAAAGGGAAGACAAACTGGTTTTCTTCCCAGTTAGGAGGACTTGCCTTGCCCTACCTCTATAATAATGTTATTCCACAGAAAGTTTTCATTAATGTATAACATTTAATAACTCATAAACCACTGTAAAAACAAAAAAAAAATCATACATTTATATAGCAGATACATAGTGAAAAAACAGGAATGTGAACGGGTTCTTTTTCAATAGTAAAAGCTGTAAAACCTTTGAAAATACGTTAAAAGTTTGAAATCTGTGCACATTCCTAAAGCCGTCCAGCGGGCTTGACTGGAGTCTTTGCTGGATCGATTGTAGGCCCTGGGCCTTATGTTTGACACCCCTGATTTATTCCACTGCTCTCTTAAAAATATCAGATTGTGCAGCTGTATAAAATGTAGTTTTTAAATTATTGGTTCCATTATTGTTTTGTGTTATGTGAGCAGATATTTATGTGAGTGCGTGCGTTTCCTACCAATGCACATCCTGGGCAGCTGTTGCCATTCTCGCAAGTGCGGACCCTGGAGTGGACACCTCCACCGCACTCGGTGCTGCACTTTGTCCAGGAGCCCCACGGGGTCCAGAAGATAGGCTGGGGACAGGACACCCCTTCATTGCAGAACCTGTGAAGATGGCAGCGACAGCAGGATGAGGTGTGGAAGTGACTAAAATTCAAGTCAGAACTACAGACTTAGAGACTACACTTTTGCACTCAAAAGACAGAAAACTGAAATTCAGCATTTTTTTTCACGACATTAATATCTATACTTTTAACCTATGAAGGAGCTTCTGTTGTGGAGTGCAGTATGTCGTGGTTTATATGATGAAAACAATTTGAAAACTCTAAACATCATTTAATGGCTGTTAAATCACTGTGAATTTTACCACAGAAATTAGTTAACACAACAGAAAACATCTCTCAGCTTCATGTATTTTGGAACTGGGTTTTCTCCAGACCTGGAATGTGAATGTTCCAGTCTCTAAAGCACTTTGAGTCAACTTCTGTTGTTTAAATGTGCTATAGGCTATAATAACACATTGTGACAGTCGGCACAATACATTTTTCATGGTACATGTTTGAGGTATATTTTTTCATTTTGAAAAAATAAAAATTTAACACAATTCATTGGGCAAAAAATACTGACCTTCGAGGATAGAAACAAAGTATCGATCCTATTGTGCTAGAATCAATCCGATACCAGCGATTGAGTTGATACTATCAATTTTTGGATCAATCTGCCCACCTCTATTCATTGGCATACGTATAAAAGTCTGATAAGGCAAGTCAATGAATACAACCAAATTCTAACTTCAACGCTGTTCCAAAGCTGGGCCATGAGGAGAGCAAATGCCTGATCACAGCGAGGACTTAAGAGTCCACTGATGTACCCTGGCACCTGGCTGCGTAAAGCCTTGTAAATCACGAGTAATGAGGAGCATGAACTGTTGTCGCTGAGAAACAAAGAGAGAGGTACCTTTCATCCCTGCTAGGCCCGACACACACACGGCCACCGTGGCGAGGTGAGGGGTTGTTACAAGAACGCTGGCGCAGCTCGAAGCCTGTACCGCAGGTTGTGCTACACTGTCCCCATGACGACCAGGGTGTCCAGCCTCCATTTCTATGAAAGAAAAATATTAGCAACAACAACTTCTCTATAATTATTCCCTGCTGCTTTTAGCATTATTCTTGTATATAACATTCTTTAATGCTATAGTTTAAAAAAAAAAGCCTTTTAGCTATAACTGCCTAATCAGTGCTCTTATTCTGACTTCCTGCAAATAAAAATACAAACACACAAAGACAGCTCATTCTGACTGGGGAACATTCATTCAATTTGCTTAAGTGCTTTGTTCCTGGGTCTCACTCGTCATGATTTAATTGGCACTTTCTGCAAAAGCACAATTCAATTGCGACACCAAGGATTAAATCTGGCGTGACTATCCAGCGGGATGAAAGTTCCTGAGCTCTTTGTCTTGACTCCGTTCTCTGTAACACTGATTAGCCAATTCCCCCGAAGACAGCGGTAGTAAGAGATGTCACAAGGAGAATGTGGATGTCACCTACACTTTCTAAAAAGATTCATCACTTTCATGATCTTTCTTATGTTCTGTCAGAGTAGGAATTGCACCCTGAGGTGGCTGCTTCAAAAGTCACTCAGGACATTCCTGCTACAATAGCAGAGTTTAAGTAAAGGCATTAGAGTTCGTCTGATCGTTGGCCCAGCTCATTAGCAAAAGGAATAATTTCAACCTGGCAGTGTCCGTTGGACTCATCCAGCATACATTAACTCCCAGAGAGGAGCTCTATCTGACAGAGTGACACAAGAAATGCAAAAATGAAATAAATTTTAGTAAAATACTGAAATAAAAGGAAAAAGGAGTCCAGCTGAAGTAACGCTATAGTTTAGCTATCAGCAAAATGTAATGAAGGAAACTTGCAGCAGAGAAATCCATCTGGAGCATCCTTAGATGCTACACAGAGCTTTGCAGAGCACCTTTTTCATGTTCCAGCTGTGTACTGTCTCCTTGGGGCAGTGTCAAAAATATGTGGCAGCAGTAATGTGGCTACTTATGATTGTTTTGTTGCTGGTCCTTTAGGGTAGCCCCTACTGTGGAGAAGACAGTGGTCTTAATAGACAAACACTTCTCTGAAGTGAAGTGACACACAAACCGTGTGGAACTGTTACAGTGTGGTTAGCTTTCATGAACGTCTGGTGTCCTGGTGCAGCCACAACAACCTGGTGCTGAATGCCCAGAAGACAGTGGAGATTATTGTGGACTTCAGGAAGCACACAGCCCCACTCCCCCCCATCATCCTGACTGACACCCCCATCACCTCTGTGGACTCATTCCGCTTCCTGGGTACCACCATCACCCAGGACCTGAAGTGGGAGCCCACCATCACCTCCGTCATCAAGAAAGCCCAGCAGAGGATGTACTTCCTGAGGCAGCTGAAGAAATTCAACCTGCCAACACGGACGATGATGCAGTTCTACACTGCAATCATCGAGTCCATCCTCACCTCCTCCATCACCGTGTGGTACGCTGGAGCCACTATCAGGGACAAACAGAGACTGCAGCGTGTTGTGCGCTCTGCTGAGAAGGTGATTGGCTGCAGACTCCCATCTTTGCAGGACCTGTACACCTCCAGGACACTGCGGCGTGCAGCTCGGATCTCAGCTGACCCTTCTCACCCTGGACACAGTCTGTTTGACCTGCTCCCCTCAGGCAGGAGGCTCCGGTCCATTCGCACCAGAACCTCTCGCCATAAGAACAGTTTCTTCCCCTCTGCTGTTGGACACATGAACAATAAACGTATGACTGTACCCGCCACTAACACATGACCCTACGCTGTGTCACTGCATCATTCCATGTTTGGCACTGATCACCACCTGCACTCATGTATATATCTTTCAACGTAGCACTCTTAATTCTTATTCTCATGTATATATCTCATGTATATCTCATGCACATATCTTTCCACGTAGCACTTTTAATTCTTATCCCTACTTTTATTTTTTTCCATGTCTATTTAAGTGCTATTTATGACAGCATGTTTGCACTGAAGCACCGCAGCAATTTCCTAATGTTGTAAACCTGCTCAACATTTGGCAATAAACCCCATTCTGATTCTGATTCTGATGCTTCTTCCTCTTCATGCTGAGCTCCTGAGATCTTTCCTTTCCTCCTAAAGCCAGCTTATCAACCAATCAGCATTTCTATAACTATTTATAGTCTAATCAACATTAGGTTGTGTTGTTAGGCCTCAGTCACGCAGTCTTAATAGCATGTTGAGACCTGTTGGCAACCACCGGTCAACACCACCTTGTGATTAGTTTGGTCACTAGCTGGTTGCCGTAGTCACCAGCAGTTAACTTTGAAGACACGCGTGGCAGTAAAACTAACATTTGTGCCTCTTCTAGCGTGTAGCTAACAGTGGTAAGGAACAACTTTTACTTTGTTTTCTGTTTCCGGTTCATGTTGCACTTTTTACCAAAGCTTGAAGAGTAAATTTGAGCATTTGCAGAAAAAGTGGTCTCATCCACATGCAGACTACAGCGAACACGGCAATCAAAACAACTCCATGAAGGTTTTTGTGCAGCACCTGCTTTCTGATTGATTGGATCTAGTTATAACCACCAGCTTGCAGAAGACACTTACCAATGGGTAGAAATAAACATTTATTGAATCCAGGTTGCCAGGGGGTCACCAACTGGTCTCAAGGCCTGTGTGCTTTATGTTTTTGGAAAACAGCACACAAGTGTACCTTAGTAGCCTCTGTATTGGTTGAATTTGCCTCTCTTTACACTTACAGCCAATTGAGAATCACAGTTCAGCAAATAGACTAGCCTTTCATCCACCTGGAGAAATCCGCGCAGTGGGACAGGAAGAACCCACACTGCATTACTGTGCACTCAAAAACTAGTGTGAAAAATAGAAAATCACTCTTTTCAGATATTTTCTTTTCTACCTTGAACAGTTTGACACCTCGATGGTGGGGCCCTCGCAGTTTTTGCCTCCACACCGAGGGGCAGGACTGTCACAAGATCTGGAGCGACACAAACAGGAGCTCACACCATCAACAACATCATCATTGTTGCAGGGTTGCCACGGTGCCCAGGGCCCGAAGCCGCCGTCGATGGTCTGGTTCCGCAGCTGGAAAACACACATCGGTCATAAGTCACAGGAAGCAGACAGGCCCTGCTTACCAAAATAAAGACGAGACTGTTTTTAGAGGAGTAAATGGAAATAAAAGCACTACTATTCACTTCCTTCTGCCAACTTAAACTTAAATCCCTTTGATTTCTGTTGTTTAAGCTTAGTCAAATTCACCTTCTTTTCTTCCTCTGCTTTATCCTATAACCTGCACTTGAGCCAGCTCTTTTACCGGACACATGAATGGTATCATCCACTATTGAATGTGAAAAAAAAGATGACATTAACAAAGCGCCTGCAGTACGTCTTACACCCCCGCTGTAAGAAGAAGTCAGGCGCCCTTGGCCTTTTCTTACAGGAAAACGAGGCCGTGATGTCACTCTTACCGGACAAACGGTGATGTTCTGCTTCCACTGGCTCATGTTAGAACTGTCCTCCAACGTGGTGCATCTGCGCTGCCTAAAGTCCCAGCCGCAGTAAGGGTCCCTCGCCTCCAAGCACAGTCTGCGCGGAGAGGAGAGGAAGAAGGAGTTTTCAGCACAGTGAATAACTGTATGGATAAATGGCCTGTATTTGTATAGCGCTTTACTTAGTCCCTATGGACCCCAAAGCGCTTTACACATCCAGTCATCCACCCATTCACACGCTGGTGATGGCAGCTACATTGTAGCCACAGCCACCCTGGGGCGCACTGACAGAGGCGAGGCTGCCGGACACTGGCGCCACCGGGCCCTCTGACCACCACCAGTAGGCAACGGGTGACGAGTGAAGTGTCTTGCCCAAGGACACAACGAGCGAGACTGTCCAAGCCGGGGCTCGAACCGGCAACCTTCCGATTACAAGGAATTAAAATCCATTTTACATATGTAATCTGATTAAATAGAATATTGCATTTTTTATACACTGAGTGCAGAAGTTTTCATTTGTTTCTTTTCTTTAATAAAATGTATGGAGAGGTCAAATAAACAAACCACTAAAAACCACCAGAAACAAAAAAAGTTCATTAATGAAAGTCCTCTGTTAAACTGCAGCAAGTAGCACACGTGCATTTTAAGGAAAGACTGCGTCGATCAGAGTTTTTGATGCAGTGTCCCTCCCTCTGCTCAAATACTAACATGAAACATCACCCAAACAGTGATTAAATATTTGCAAGCTCCCCCAGTAAAACAGAGGCTTAATGACAGCTAATTAAATCTAAAGCTGTTAATGACGAGGCTTAGCTGCCAGAGCTGATCTGGATGCCTCAGGAAGACAGAATAAAGGCATCAACTGAGTAACTCCTCTCTCTCAAAAGGCGCCCCTTCACTTTCAGCATCCCTCGCTATCCCCCTTCTGCTTCTCTTTTTCAGCTACGGTCCTTCCCTCTAATCGTACTCCTTCTCTTTTGCGATTTTCCTTAATTGCAGCGCTGGAGATTCTCTCGCTCCTGTCTTTCAATTCTGCTGAAAGGAAAGATTCTTGTTGCTTTCCCCCCCTGTTTTCCTGGCACAGGCACGCATGGTTTATTTGAAGAGCCCTGTAGTGTTTTAGCTGAGAGGTTGAGGAATGTCCAAGTGTTGATACAGCTCTCTGTGAACGGGCCCTGAGCTCAGCGATGAACTCGAGGTCGGTTTGGTTCCATAAAGACATTACTGCTTCGTCAGCAAATCAGAGGTGACCCCGGCAGACAAACAAAACGAGCGAGCGTGGAGTGGCAGCAGCGTTCCTCTGGTGATCTGTGGCACAGCTAGCCGGGGAAAGGACGACCTTTACTTTGCGACCACTGACTGGTAACCTTTGTGTGTGTCGTTTTAATTAAGCGGCTCTATTACACTGGATGCAATCTCCGATACCGACGAAACGATAATCGTAATGAGGTCGGCAACAAAGTCACAGTTCACTGAACTTAATAGATCATTTGAAAGGGGGGGAGGGAGGAGCTGGATGCCATTTTGGCTCAAGGGTGACCACACCGTGTCTGGAGTGACTTTGACGGGTGGCTTTGCGTCGTCACCACGGCTGAAGAATTCTCATTTGGTTTTCTGATTAGCCAACTTCCCTCCAGCACACACACCACTGCAGAGATCAGCTGAGCGGAACAATTAATAAGTGTGCATTTCATGGAGAATAAATGTTGTACGAAAAGGAAGCGGCGGTAGCGATTTAAAGCCTAATTACCTGTGGGTAATATGTGCCGGGAGGCAGGCTGGGAGGATTCTGACCTCAGGGAAAGACATTCAGTGGTGGATTCACCCGGTTTGCATTGATTTAGGGACATGAATGAATGCAACTCATAGTATGAGCTATTTTGAAGACTGGAACAACTGGAAAGCTGATCCTGACAAATTGGCTGACAAACTGAAGTGCAGATGTGAGAGGGTTAATACATCTTTTGAATTTATCACTCCATCACAAACGTGAATTACACCGTTCTGGGTAAGAAGGTGCAGCTTTCCCCTGTTTTGAGTTTCGTCAATGTAGATGCAAGATAGGCAAACTTTTATAAACCTAAATTAATATTTTAGACAACAGCATAATTCCAATTTTGAGGCAACAGGTTGGCGAATGTTCCAACCAACAGCACCGTGTCTACAAAGACACGACCTTATAATGTATTTGTAGTACAATAAAAAAAAGACAAAATCAGTGGTTGACCTCATGGGGCAGATTTACTAAAGAGGGCTGCAATAAGAGCTGTATGGGTGACCAGTGCAGATGGGTGTCTATCAATAACAGGATTGCAAACAAACAGATGTGAGGGTTCAATGAGACTTCCAGCAGCGTAGGTGCAATTTGCTTTTTGTGACAAACATAAAATAAGAGAACTTTCTATGATGTGTTTATTCAGTTCAATATAATTTTATTTATATAGCACAAATTCACAACAGCTGCTTCAAGGCAGAACCAGAGGTTATGTCAGGAAGGTAAATGTGTGCAAAACACTTTACTGCTCACAGAAGAGATCACAGCACTGTAGGCATTATACTGTCGGGGGCCCTGGGTCTTGGTCCTTGGTGTTTCTCTGTGCATGCTTTTTGCAATTCTTTTTGGTTTTGAGGATCACTCGTATTTAAGTTTAGGGTTTTTTGTAATATTAGCGAGGTTGCTATTTTCCTTTATGTCATTTATTACATCCTCTCAAGCTGTTTCTTTTTAGCACCTTTGACATTTACAGCGTTTTGTTTCCCAACGTTTTTGTGAGATGTTGCTGCCATCAAATTCTAAATGAGGTAATCTTTTTCATGAAACGGTATGTCTCAGATGTTCTACTGAGAATAAAATATGAATTTATGAGATTTGCAAATCATTGCATCCCATTTTTATTTGCAGTTTGTACAGCATCTCTGCTGTTTTTGGTTTTAGCCTTGTACCTGTGAAAATCCATCCAAACAAGTGGAGGATGAACATTAGAAATCGCAGTAAGGAGGGATGTGAATAACTGCTGTTCACTGGTAAATAGGTATGACAGCTAAAGTGGTATGTTGCTCAACATAGTCTGAATCTTTAACAAAATGGGTTTAAAAGATGTTTTTATTAAAAAATCTGACTGCTTTTTATTTTTCGTATATTAATAGGATGGCTAAAACTCTTGTGTCCCATCCTTTCTTTCCACCACATCCCAGTTTTAATACTAGTCAAGGGAGAAAAAGACAGTGTGCCAGACCATTTAGCTCCCTCTCTGACCTTTTCTACAGCTGCATAACACACCAGCCAAAAACTCGCAGTGCTATTCTGCCTTGACGGCTGACTATTTTTTAAAAACAGCACCACTGTAAAAGTTAATTATAGGCAGTGTGGATGGAGCGAGGGCTGTGTGATGGGAGCAGAAAAGCTAATTCCTCAAGCAAGTGCAAAGGAATGTCAGCCAGAACAGGAGGCTGATCCTGCAGATACGGAGAAGTGTGAGGCCTCTGAAAATGGCACAAAGTGTGTGCGTATCTTAATTTGTGTAAGTGTGCACATAAGCAAGCGTGCTTACTCATGAGCACTTCATCTTCGTACACCACGAGGGCGTGTCTTTGTGCTGTATGTGTGAGTGAATCGTTTGAGAAGTCTGCAGGGTACTGGCTGATAATTCAGCAGCATGCATGCCCAGTGGCACACTATATCAAAACAGAGAAGCTATGGAACACGGCCTGTTAAATTTTAAACATACTGAGCAGCAAAACTCAGCAGCGCATATAACAATAAGTCCGGACAACTGGCATCAGAAGATAAATCTCCTGCATTCTGTCGGGGTGTAATTGGCATTTTAAATCATTTGTGAATGCAGTAAAAACCAGTGTCTCCTTTTATTATTGGACCTTTAACAACCAGACGTAAAAACAATAGTGCACCTCGCCTTTAATAGCAGGCTGTCAGTGTATAATTGCAAATATGATCACCAGAACTGATAAATTATGGATTGCATTCAGCCATTATTAGATGTCACGCTGACACTCGGAGAAAACGTTAGCAAAGGCTGTCTGGAGGGCCTGACTCATTTAACATATGTTGGCATACGGCAGCCTCTCCATCTCTCCATATGAGCTATGCCATTTCTTTTCAAACATCCACTCTTAGGAGACCACTGCTGTCAAGGCACTCTTCATCCTCTCTCCAGGGGGAGCGAGCCTGTCCCCAGGGATTCTTACCCCCGCCTGCTGTGCTGGGCTGAGCTGGCTATTTAAGAAGTCTGCTCATGATGAATCGGAAACAGAGAGAACTCCTGCTAGCACTCAGCGCTAATACATCCAATTAGGCCCAGTTGGAGCCAGGCTGAAGACTGATGGTGCCGTGTCCAAAAAAACTCAAGAAAACAAAAGTGAGATGGCTGTCTGCCAAAAAAAGAAAAACCTTGCTGTCCTCTATGTACATTTTTTGGCCCCGGTGGATAAAAAGTAGCTGCATCATCACAGAGAAACAATGGGGCGGCAGAGACAGGCTACACGACAAGGAGAGATCCAGGATAAGAAATTATATTAAAACGGCTGAAAGAGTGGAGAGGAGAAGATATGAGACACAAAGACGACACAGAAATGGGCAATATGAATATGGACAAAAATAACCAAGAGGTGAAAGCTCTTGTTTGTTTGACAACATTTTATCAACCCAGTCAGCCTTTTTGATGGAGTTGTAAATCTATAATCCATCCCATCTATACTGGCCCATCCAATCCAATTTTATACTTGGCAGGTCAAACATCCATCACAATGCAGACAAGCAACCTCTACCTAGGACTCTTGGAGCTATTCTTAAAATTTTCTTTGGACACAGAGAAGAAAACCTTGATAGAGGATGCGCGTACAAAATCCAGGAACCAAAGCTCCCATTACAGAATGTTCTAACCCAGCACTCCCCAACCTTTTATGTGCTACGGACTGGTTTAATGTCAGATGATATTTTCACGGACCGGCCTTTAAGGTGTTGCAGATAAATACAATAAAATAAAATGACACGGCCGAGACAAAAACTGGTATTTTATAAATATAATAATAAAGGCAAATTCACTGTGTAATTGTGTAACTTTATCAGCACCGTCCTCC